GCCAACCAATGGTTTGTCGCTTTGATTGCCTCTGTTTTGCATCAATTGTCGCACACTTTTGGGAACTCTCTTCGGGTTATGACTGGAAGCCCTTCGTCTCATAAAACGTGGTAATCGTTGAGACATTAGTTTCGGTGCTTTGGTCTTGCATTCAGTGTTCAGTGAATCCATTTCCAGACAATGGCTCTCAATTCGCTTCAAGATATAGATCTCTATTTCAATGAAAAAGCAATCAATTAATTGATTTAGTAATCGATGGCATGTGTTGACAAAGACCTGTTGACATCGTGGACGTCGACTGTTGACCACTTAAGCTCACATTCATTGTGCGACAGAAATGTTGTTCAAATCAATTATAACTGTAATTATTGAGTGATCACTCAATTGTTGATCAAAAGTGTGGCAAAACATGCAAACTGTTTGTGAGGAGTGTATGACACGTGACTCCCATGTGATGCCTGAACAACATTCACTCAACTCTTTGCTTACAGTTTGCAAACATTTTCATATCATTTCATTTGATTGTCATTTCATTTGATTGTCATTTCATTTGATTGTCATGTGATTTACATTTTCATAGCATTTCAGTGGATCTCCTAAGAGTTGATTGTATTGATCCCACGATATGCTAAGCAATTGTCACAAATATTCACCATAAGATGCGAACTCTGGTTAGAGTTTTGAATTTGAAGCAAATGTCTTATCTAAAGGCATATGACATTCAAATGTCTGTAATGAATGACATAAAGAATTCACTGAAGTGTGGATCAAGTGAAGTGAACAACACATTGATATTAGTTGAACACAAACCGGTTTACACAATAGGTGTGCGAAGTAAACCATACGAAGACTTACTTCTGGAGAAGCGGTTGAAGGGTTTGGGGGCAGAGTTTGTCCGCACAAATAGAGGCGGTTTAATCACATTTCACGGGTCCGGACAACTGGTCGTATACCCCGTCCTATACTTGCCATCATTTGGTACTTTAAACAGAAGCATCAGATGTTATGTACGATCACTGGAGACAACTCTCATTCATTTGTGCCATTCGTTTGGTGTGAAGACATCAGTGGTCGAGGGGTTGCCCGGGGTTTGGGTGGACAACGACCGCAAGATAGCGGCAATTGGTATCCATTGTA